CGTCCAAGCAGGTGCTAATGAGCTCAAATCCAGCCCCCGGGTAAGCGTGGTACCCGCGTACGGGCCTGCCAAAATTTTTTTTTGGGTAAGTCCATAACTCGGGGATCTGTGAAGCTAGAGAGCTAAAATCTTAGGGGGTGTTCCCTGTCCAGGTGGGTATTAACGAGTTCAAACCCTGCCCGCGAGTAAGCGTGGTACCTACGTACAGGCCCGTGAAGGTTCCTTCCGGGTAAGTTACTTAGTCGAGAACTTGAGAAACTAGAAGACTGGAATTTTGAGGGAATGTTTCCTGACAGTTCTGGCGGCCAGTCTGAAATTCTTTCACTAGGGCATCTGCCGAAAAAACCAATGCCGGTAGCGAGAAAAACTGCGGGGAACTCTGCAAAAAACGCATCTTCGCACGAGCAGCCCGTGCGTTGGCCAATTATTTCGGATTGCTAACAGTAGTGATGGTGAACTGCTGAAGAGGCAGATTTCTCGGATTTGCACTTTAAAGAAATTTCACAGTTAGGAATCACGTTGTTGTTTTGCAGAGAAATCAGTATTTTAGTTGACTTCCGGAATGTACAGCAATAAAAAACCCAGGCTGGAACGCACCAGGCGGGCCGGTGCGATTATGCGTTTTTGCACTTTTCGTGATGTAGCAAGATCGCAAGGAATCACAGTAGCTAACCCTGTGAAATACTAGCCCTCGAGGTTCGGGAAGCTAATTATGCAACTCTGTGGTATGTCAGTTGTAGGTGTTGACTTCAGTGACCCGACAAATGGAATGTTGCTGGTCCGCAAACAAGACCACGTTAGAAGAGTTGAATTAAAAATTTTTTAGTCGCACATGAGCAGAGAACATACCATTAAAATTAAAGCCCTTAGCTTTTCCCGTTCCCGAGTTAGCAGTTTCCCCACCAAAATTTTCACGTGTCTGTACGTGAGTACCGGACGGTTTTAAGGAGCTGAATTTAAAATTTCTTGGTCATACATGAATAGGGAACATAACCCTGAAGTTCAGCTTTCTAGCTTTTTTCGTTCCTGGGTTAATGATTTTCGCGCCAAAATTTCCACGCGCTCGTACTTGAGCACGGACGCTTCTAAACACCTTCTTTTGCTCGTACATGAGCAGGGAACATCCCCTCAAAGTTTCAACTTTCCAGCTTTTCCCGTTCCTGGGTTAGTAGTTTTCGCGCCAAAATTTTCACATGCCCATACGTGGGCTCG